GCACCTTCGGGTTCAGGGAGAGGGCGAAATGGCATGGGGCAGTGGGGCGAGTGTTTGAGGGGCGATCGACAGATCCTTATGCCGAAGGTTGTGAGACCAAAACCTTCAATTAGGAATCTTTGACCATGACCTTCACACCCCTGGCCATTGATGTCCAATGTCTTTTTGCGTAGATTTCGTCTGGCCGTGCTCAGGCTCAAAGCGGACGTGACAACTTCTCTATTGAAGCGATAGCCGGGAAGCAGAATCTCAGAAACTCGTAATCGCAATCTTTCACGGTGCAATGCTGCTCAAGCTTGAAGCTGATGATTTTCAGAAACTCGTAGTCTCACCCTGTAATGCTCGGGAGCATGCAGCGGGCGTCGGGGGCGGAGCTCCGTCTTAGCATCAGAAGCTCGCCGTAGCCAGCGCGACCGTATGAAACCTGTAGAACCTCGTATCTCTCGACCTTTAACCATAGTCATGTCACGAACCCCTGAAGCTGAAACGCTTGCTGAAGCTGGCACAGTGAGAGGATCCTCCAAGTTAGAGCCAAGGTTGGAGCGGGCGGCCGTGGCATATGCGGACGTCGAAGCCTCGAAGCCACTTGGCTGCAGGGCCTTGGAAAGTCCAGTCTTGCCTCACCCGCCCCGAGAGTGCCTTGCTGAGAGCAGTCGACACGCGTGCCAGCTTGTGTGTTGCTCCAAGTCATGCGCTTCCGGTTCGCTTCTAGTCTCGGTGCTTGCGTGATGATCGCATGAGCCTAATCTAGGGTCTCCACGCCACTTCCACGCTGTACGCTTTGTGGGTTTCCGGCTTGAGGGCTGGGCACAAAGGTTGAGGGTTTGGAGCTGTCGTTTTGATTTCAGGTTCACGCGGCCCTGTTGACTTCGATGGTTTCGTTCTGGTACAGACAGCCGATGCAGGTACATCTGGGGTCTCGGCTACCACTGGTGCGCCAGGGAATTGTTTGTGCATCTGGGGCTATGAGGCATTCCCGCCACGGTTCAGCATTGTTCAGGCCGGTATGCACAGTGGTATCGGCCCAACCGGACCCAACCCAAGATCTCTGTCCCCTTGCATACCACATGATCTCTTCAATGCTAAAGACGTGCAAGAACATGTGGATCAAATGTTGTTCCAACATCATCGGAGTTTCAAGCAATGTCTGCGTGCATGGGGAAATGCGGAGTTCGCAAAGCCACTGGACCAAAGCCTCGTCCCATATCGCCTATAGAGTCTCTTTAGAGTTCCTTATTGCGATCACTAGCTTTAGCCTCTTTGCATCTTAAGCACGGCACCTCTGGATCCAGCATCGCGGTTATCGACTCTAGGTACGGAGATGCACGGTATGAGACCTGGCCCGAATGCTACGATGTCGTCTACGAGGCTTCAAGCACTGGCCCGCCTAACAGTCTGTGCTCATTGAGTGTTTTGGCAAGTCGAGGTTCCGTGGGCTTGGCCTTTGTTCCGTAGATTTTTCCAATGTGTTTTTCTTTCGTGGGGGCTTTTGTGATGGCCGGGAGAGTTTCCGAGTTCTTTGCAGAAGCACAGCCTCGTTGGCCGGTCGAGACGTCTTGCGTCCAATCTCGATCCACGAACCAAGCGTGAGGGTGAAGTCATCTCAACATTGGGCCCCGTCCCAGGGCGTCTCGTGTCGAAGAAAAGGTGCAGGTCCTGCAGGCTGCTCGCCGAGCGACATCGTTGGTAGGTCGCAGCCGCTTGTGGGCTCGTCCTGGTGGTGCGTCTCCTTAGACTGCAACAAGTTAGGAGGACCAGGGGTGGTAAGCTCTTGACGCCCCCTCTGAGACTGTTTGCAGGACCGCAAGCGTGGCGGGGGCTCCGTCCAAGAGCTCAAAGCCAGGCCTGAGCGGAGAGGAAGGGACCTCGCGGCTTTGAGCTGTCGGCCTAAAAAAAGATTGTAGTCTGCTACAGAGCTTGTCGACCTCAGAGTGATCCTTGATGCCTGCAGGCTGGGTTTCGAGAATGTCCGGCGTGTCGCCGAGCTGGCCGCCCAGCTTCGGCGGCAGTAGGAGGGCTCAGCAGAAAGCTTGAGCAATACCGACACGAGCACGTTCAGCTTTGGTGCACGTGGATGGAGCTGATGCAGGTGAACGGAGTCCCGGAGTCCAGGATTTATCTTGGCTCTGCCGTGCTAAGGTTGCAACCGGACAAGCACATCATCTTCACGGAGGGCTGCCAGGCCCGACAGCTGCAGCCGTTGCCCTCTAATGCAGTCTGCCGCAGGAGCTCTCGAACCGAAAGTTGGACGAGATGCTTGGAGCCGGGGGCTCTTAGGATGGCTCAAAGGAAACACGCGCGAGCACCGACCATCGGACAATCAGTCGGCTCAGGTTTGGAAAATCGGCGAGAGGTGCTTCCTCCATTCCCCTTTTTTGCTTCCACATCGGGTCAGCAGGATCTTGTCTGTCATGTTGTTCAAGGAGTCGCATAGGAATTAGGAACATGGCAGATTCCATACCCCGTGAAGGTACGGCATGAACATCATCAACGACATGAACAACGGAGTGGAGCTGAGTGCTGTTTTGGTCGCTGCATCTCCGCTTCTTCGTGCTCCCCAGCAGTTTTTCCAGCAGTTCTGGTTCTTGCTACTTGCCCGCGCCGCCGCGTTGGAAGAAGCCGTGAGCCGGAGTAAGCCGGAGGAGCTGAAAGTCTGCAAAGTCAGAAGTCGTCAGGCTGCGAAGGCTGGATCGACTGGAACCTGTGCCTGGACGAGCAAGGACTGGACCGCTGAAAAACGTTTGGCATGTAACTTCACAGTATGCGACAAAAATGGAAAAGGCTGATTAACACCCAAGTGATCTAAAAGCGTGCAGCATAGCGGAAGATACAAGACAATCCCACCTCCCAACATCATAGTAACGGAGGAGTTCTGAATCCTTGTTGTCAGGTGGTCCCAACCATGTCGGCAACTTTTGCTGCGACCCCGAGCTTGTCTTGAGGGTCAACACGGCTCTGCCGACCTTGCAAACCCTCGTCGAAGTGGCATTGTCGAAGTAGCTCCACTCCGCATGTGGAATATCGATTGAACAGGGGAAAACACAGTAGACGTCATGACTCATAAGAGGGCAAGATGTGTGTGTGTGTGTGGCCCCCCCGGGTCGACTTCGACGTTGCGCCGTTTGAGGCTCAGCTCCGATAATCTGCGACACGCGCAGCGACGAAGTGCTCCGGCAGCCCTCCTACTGGCCCGGGGCCTACTGTAGTGGAGTAGTGCGGCGAAGAACGATCGGGGCCCTTGCGTGATGATGTCGCTTTGCCTTTTGGCGATAGCCATGTGGGACGAACTGGAGTTCCGCTTGTGCATGACAAGAAGAAATCCCTAATTTGCATCTGCCACTTGGTCAACCTAAGTGATGCCTGGACTTTCATGTGTCGTTGGCAAGATTTCTGAGGTATCTTGGCCATTTTTCCCGCTACATTCGCCCTGGTGCCTGCCGTGCAGTGAGCAGCACAAGCCGGGACGTGCTTGAGGCTGGGTTGACAGCTTGCTTCTGCAATATGCTGTCTCACTTCAGCAATCATGGTCACATGAATCACACCATACCTCATGGCTGCTTGCAGCTGCCGACGTCATTCTTCAGGTGACGTCTTGGGTAAATCCCGACGGCAGCACTTGCCTGAGTGTTCGAGCTGTCGCTTTCTCTGGCTGTCTGATGGTGTTTGCTTTGAAGCTTTGACCCAACCTGTGTGGAGTCGTGTGGCTTGCGGGTTTCTCCAAGCTCCGAGCAGTGACGAGCCGTGGCGATCAACCTGTGATGGCTTCGAGAATCCTACATGCTTTCACAGCAGGACCCTCTGCAGCTCTTCTGCAGGTTTGGCCGTCGTGGTCATGAATCAAAGTGCGGAGGACATCGAGTTTTGGCTGAAGGCCGATCATGGACAACGTTGTAATAAATTGTTTTCTTTCTGACTCTCACATCCGTCCTTTCCGACTGAGTGGATTTCATGGCTGACAGGTGCAGGGATCAGGTGCAGTGCGCACCGAGGCAGGGATTCTTTGAAGGTTCGTTCGTTCGTAGTCCAGTTTGAGGGTCATTTGTTTCTGTTGCACCTGTTGTCCAGATCAGCGTGGGGGAATCTTGTCTTTCTGCAGATTGTGTGGGCTTGACATTGGCCCCTTCCGACATACTGCAGTGTGCTTGAAGCTCATTTCCAGAGACCGATCGCTGGGCCTTTTCTGCTCCGAATCCGAAGCTACACAGTGAAAGTTCTATCGTAACAAGGAGTCGCTGAAACAGGGCAGCGTGTCTTGACAGACGATTGCATGGCACCGAGCGCTCCACGCACTGATTCGTAGGTTCCACCTCTCCAAAGGGTGCAGGAAGTATGAGGGTTCTGCACTTGTCTCTTGGCTGTCCTTTGGCCGCCTAGTGGAAGCGGAAGTTCGTTCTGGCCGCAGGCCCCAGCGCGATCGATCACGACGTACTTGATCGATGATGCGGAGCCTGCCGATGTTTAGATTCTGTTTAGATGCTGTTCCGATGCGTGTGGAACGGCGATATGGCGCTCCCCGTGGTGCTGATGCGTTAGTCACAGCAGGTTCCAGCTCAAAGAAAGTGTAGCTGAAGCCCGTGCTGTGGCAATCTGCTATGGTTCAAAACGAGGTTCAGCAACTTGCAGAGCCTGTGTCTCTGTCTTCATGACCTTTACCCAGGGGCCGAGCTGGACAGCCTCAAGTTCACCTTGTCTTCGGATCCTGCTTCTTGGTGACTTGCCTTGAGAGAAGGCACTGGTTGCAGTTTTGGGCTCGAAGCCGGGCTTGAAACGGTAGCCTCAAGCACTAGATGTGCATGGATTCGTGTTTGCACGCACACAGATATGTTCGCATCGTCTGAACGTGCGTATACATACATCTACTGACATATTACAATCGGTCTTTGTAGATATGTGTACGCTTTCCACATTGATTGATGAACTTGCTTTCGGAAAGCTAAGTAAGGCCTCCAGTCACCCACTACGCTGTAGTTTCGTCTAGAGCAGACTGCAACCGACCTGACATGGCTGAAGCAAGCGACTGGCGCATGCTGCTGTGCCGAGTGCGTGAGGCATTGCGGAGTGCACCAGTATCCACGCTCGAGGCCGCCCAGGTCGAACTGAGGAAGATGTTGGCAGAACTGGTGGCCCGCTGTGGCAAACCCCTGGATGAAGCTGAGATGGATGCTGCTAGACTGCTGCAGTCACGTTGCTGGTGAGTTTGGAAGGCTACATTCATAGCAGCTCAGCGTTTCCGGCCTGCCTGGTAGAGGCTGCCATCGTGCATGAAATGGGGCTCCAGGGCTACCACCTGGAGGCGCCCGAGCTGGAGGACTCCGCCCTGGTGGCGCAGGCAAGGCCCCGTGCCAGCATCACAGCAGAGAAGTGCTTCGCGACTTTTTGCCCTCGTCAGCACAGTCCGTTTCGTCTGTGAGGAGCTGCAGATGCACAAGCGGCGGCGCCTCACGGGCAAAACGTGCGTAGCCTCGTCACGGTTGGAGCCGGAGGAATCAGTGAAGGAGAGCAGCCTCCCAAGCGAGGACGGGAGCGAGCATGATGAGGCAGGGCGTACCCCGCCTGTCCTTTGCCGCTCTGCTGCTTCCAGCCTCGTTACCAGGCTTAAGATAGGTTGGAGTTAGGTCGTGGTGTCCGTGTCCTTGCTCCGAGACAGGTGCAAGAGGCAGCCTCATCCCCGGGCCAGTCTGACGATGTCGGAAAGTCGGGTGGTACGGAAGTGAATTCCCCCTGCATGGGCGAAGAGGAGTTCTGGAAAGGGCATCATGTGATTCATGTCCTCTTTGCACTATCGCCGTCGCTGGTGGCTCCATGCGGGACTCGCGCCGGCGCACATTGTGTAACGCAGTTCCAGGACGAGGCATAACACCTTCTGAGCGTTGTGAGCTGGGAAGGAGCGGGCCTCTTCACCATTGCCTGAGCTTGAAGACTGCGAGGACCCTTGGGTTTAGAAATCCAACAATACACCATCGCTGTGCGCCCGGTTCGGCTAGGACCCCTCGGGAGAGGAGACGATCTTCGTCAGCCGGAAGGCGGAGCTTGGCTTTCCCTGAAGCTTGTGAACATGTGGGCGAGCAGACCCCTCGAGCCGGGAAGTGTACCCGTCTTGTGCAAGTGTATGTAATGTTGCCTCCGTTAAAATGGCTTGGTGGGCCGAAAAAGTGCCACGTTTCGCTACTTCAAAAATCGTCACCGTTCTGAGCTGAAATGCAAGATCTCTCTTATTGCCTCTACTGCTTGTCAGGGATGCACAGACGAGGTGTGCGCATTTTCGTCAGGCTTGTTGATCAATGATTGCACTGCTCGGAAAGATCAATCGGTGTGCGCTCCATGACCAGTGTGTAATCAGTTATTGCCTTCTGTAGGAATGCTTGAACTGGCACATGCTGCGGTTGCAAGCAGTTTGCCAGCCCACAGTAGCTGCATCGGTCCACTTCTGGGGTGAGCTGATCTGGACAGCTGGGCCGGGCTTGGCTTCCTACTCCGAGGCCTTTTTGGCTTTGCAGAGCAGAAGCTTGAACAACGAGTCCATTTCCAGCGACAGCATCTACCGTCTCTTCGATGGGAGCGCACTCCGGGATGGTGAGGCGTGACGGGGCAGTTCTCTCTGCAAAATAAGCGTGTGCGACAGAGCCACCCGTCGGCAAAATGGGCCTCTGCGTGTAGATGCGATCTTCGTGTGAGAGAAGTCTGTTGAAGTACAGGTCTATGCTTCTGCTTTGCAGTGTTCGCTCCACCGTACTCGAAGACAAAAATACCAACTGCTTCATCACAAGACAAAAGTTTGTCCTGACCGATACTCCGGGCATTGATCCATGGTGAGCTCCGCGAGGAATTGATTGCTTTGGATGCTTCGCAGCTGTTGGAGCGCTGGCCAGCAACCGCCGCAGCAGGCGTTGAGGCACAGCACCGATTGGTTTCAGCATCTGGGCCTCAAGCAAGAAGCGCAGCCCCTGCCCACCACCACCACCACCGCCACCACCACCACCGCCAACAGGACCAGGACCAGGACCGCGAGGACCACCAGGACCACCAAGGACCAGGAAGGACCACTGCCACTGCCGCTGCCGCTGCCGCTGCCACTACCACTAGCACCACTACTACTGCTACCACTACGACCACTGAAACGCTTCTGTCTTCTTTCGATATCTTGCATCCGGGGGTCAATCTTGGTCCCAGACTCGCACTGATTGCCAAGCGGAGGGCCTTACCTTGGTACTGCTGACCAACTGCTGGACCGCAGCCACACCCTGCCGTTAAGGTCTTGGGTATTGCTCAGGATTTGCCAACCCCACAAGAGCAGAACGAGACAAAAATGCGGACGGGACATCAGTTCCACATGTCTCCTCCTCCTCCCCTGCTACAGCCTCGCTGTTACCACCACCACTTGCTGCTGCTACTGAGTACTACCGCCACATCTTCCCTTCCATTGTCACGCTTGCGCCTGCAACGGGCTCCGACTCAAAGGCGCTGCTGGCCTTGGGGATGCCGGAAACTGTGCGGCGGATTCTTGGGGCGGCAGCGGGTACCTTTGCCACAGTCGTGATGGGATTCGTGGAACATTGCAATCTCAGGGAGCTCGGTGAAAGCTGAACAGCTAAGACAGCACAAGAGCTAGCATGAAACCACGAAAAGCACGGACATGAATTTCCAGATTGGTGCATGCAGGAGCACACATGCAGAAGGTTTATGAATAAACAGAATGCAAGATCCGCAGAAGAACCATTAAGCATCATATATGCATACATACATACATACATACATACATACGTATGTGCATGCATACAGACTTGAATACGTACATACAAGCATGCATACACACATGTGCAGCATGTGCACTTGCCTTCAAGACGTTCAGCAATGTGTACGTTCAGAAATCGTGTTCACGAGCCATGCGCAGATGTAATAGCACAACATCATGGTCCATGCAATTTGCGCAGGCATGTTGGTGTACTAGGTTTGCTTGCCACTATTCCCTAAAGATGTTTCTTGTGTGACATACCGTTTTGTCATGATCCAGGCAACATCACAGAAGAGGGCGGGGAAGAAGAAGAGTGCGAGGAAGACGATTGCTTCGAGGAAGAAAAGAGGACCTTTGAGCTTGGTTTTCTTGAGGTCTGTGCAGCTGATGCAGGGCACCAGCTTTTTCACCGTCAAAAGACGTGGTGGAGTTAACCTCACTCTGGTTCTCTCGAAGCTCTAATAGAAGGCGAGGCTGTCTGTGACGAAGGCTTCTCGGATCTCAGCGTCCTTCCATCCCAGCACCCATCAGGCAATCCCTTTGTCCAGCCAGCTGCGGCATCCACGCATTCTGCTGGCCTCGCAGTCTTTGGTTCAAGCTTTGCAGCCCCGAGCTTTCGACGGCTCCAGGCTGAGCGGCCAGCACAAACTCCGAAGTTTGCGACGAATTGACTGTTTTCCCGGGTGCGCTGCTTTAAGTTCAGACTGAATCAAACGAGACTGCATCGCCCCCCGGAGGTCATGGATGAGGAATACGATGTCATCGTTTGCGGCACCGGCTCCGGGCCAAGACAGAAGCTTGCGGAGGACATGTATGTAATATTATCTAGGGCGGTGCCAAAAAAGACAGCATGTGGTTTGGGACCAGTGGAAAAGTGCTGCAAGTAGAGTCCGGTGATTTTGGTGTGCTGTTTGCCCAAGTGAGATCCGGCTTGTCAGGCCATAGGTCGCTGGCTCTCAGGCCTCGCTTTTCAACTTAGGCCTAGCCGTGTTGACTTGACATTCGTACCCGGCCATGAAATAAGCCTTCGGCTTGGAGCCGGAAGCTCTCTTGCACAAGCCAGAGTCGAACATCTCTAGTGCTTCAGCCTTGCCGCTGGCCTCCCAACGCTATTGTGGCCATGATCACTGCGCACTCAAGCCATGACGTGCACGACGAAAGCAGTGGATGCCAAAGAGCAGCCGCAACGGCCACTCAGTGCAGAAGTTGGTTGGGTTGGCCCTTCCATGACGAAGCCTAGGGCTTGGCCTTGTTCTGGCGGGTGTCTAGCCGTTGCAAGGGGCTTGGACAGTTTGCTGTGCATCTTGCAAGTTGGAAGCCCGAAGCCCAAGTCCTGCCGTGCGTCATCGTCCTGAGCAGGTGATATGGCCCTTGCAAGCCGGCCGCCGAAAGCACGACTGGAGTCGCCATCACACAAGACTCCTGGTGGGACGCTCTGGCTCATAATGCCCTCGAGGGAAGATCCGCTGACCACTTGCACATGACCCGCATGTTGCTTCACAGCAGCAGTTTGCCTTGCTTGCTGTCGCCAGCATCGTTGGCTTTGCCGCGTGCAGCTCAGGCAGCTTCGGCCGTGCCGGCCGCTTGAGCAATGTCTCTGCCTTCGCTGTGCCGGCTGGGCCTTTCTGCGGTTGCTTTGACGGGAGTTTCGCCGCCAGCGCTGGGCGAGGAGCCGGTCCTGCAGCCCGGAGAGCATCCGGGTTGGACTGTTTGAGGGACTTCCTTTGGATGCTTTGTCGGTCAGCTTCGTACGGTGGTTCACAAGACATCTCCAACTTCTGAAAAGCAGACATCGGTAAACGAGCGTCTCTTGCAGCCCTATCTAGAAGCTGCTTTTTCAAGAGACTGATGGTTTGCTGCACTCGAACTCAGCAAAACCTCAAACATGATGGTTTTTCTGCTTGGTCTGGGGTGTTCGGGCTTCCCTCACTGTCATGACTTGTTATCCGATCCACGCACTTGAAGACAGGAAAGGGACCGTTGCACTTGCAACTCAGTAGGAGGTCTCCTATCTATCGCGCACTAGAGGTACGGCGGCTTCATTACCGCAAGGAAGGCGACTGACCGCCAAGTTCGAGCTTCGGTTGACAGCATAGGAGTGTTTCCAAAACTTGCAGGGTGGTGAAGGTCCTGGACATAGGCAGACAGCTGCGACTTTTTGTCTTTACTTAGCTTCGCCTTTGGGACAACGCCGGCATCACACTCCTGGCAGGGTCTGAGCTTCTGAGGATTCTGGAAGAAGCTCACGGCCGAAGGCATCCCTCTGGTCGCAACGCGGGTGCGGGACTCCGCGTACCAGCGCATACGCGCCCCGGACGAGCTGTGGGTTGACGGTTGCGCAGCCGGAGTCGCAATTTCGCGCAGTGAAGGGGGGGCGGATGGAGACGCAGTGCCGGTTCTGCAATGTAGGGCAAGGTTTTCACCTCTCTTGTCCTGGGCGTTCCTTTCCGAGCAGGCGAGGCTGCAAACGAGAGCCCGTAGCTGCGGTAGCCGTCGTAGCAGGGTGGGAAGTGATCTGCGCCCCGAGGTGGCCATGCAGTGATTGTGAAGACCCTTGGCAGGGAAGCAGCAAGCAGCAGCGAGCATTTGTAGCTTTTCGATGTTGGTTGTGTATGGCTTACAGCATGTCTCTTGCAGCGCAGCGGGATGCTGAAAGCTGAAGGTGAGCCTCATTCTTGCCGTGGGTGTTCGATATGTCAGCTAGGGCAGGAGGCCAATCCGTCTCAGTCATCGTGTTATTTCAACAGGCCTGAACCCCACGCTTTTGCCTGGAAGCTTGCACCCGGGCCCAGGCAATGCGAGTCTGTGGAAGCTGTAGCTCGGCCTTTGGTGGGGTTTTGGACTGGGCCTCGTCCAGGCGAAGAGGCATGCAACAGGATATGTCAATGTAGTATTCTACAGGCGTTCTCTAGGTTGAAGACTTCAGACTTCCTGTAGAAAGTTTCTGGCTCGAGCTGCACAGTTGCTGTCCGAGCTTTTCTCCTTGTTGGCCACATTCTGGTCGTGATGCATGGTTGCTTGCCCGGCGAGGATCTGTGCTTGATCATAGAGGACCGACGAGCCCAAGTGGAGCCTTGATCTTTTGCTTCTTCTTTTCATGTTGCTATGGGGCTTTGCGAAGTCGGCATGAAGGCCGACGTGCTTCGGCTTGGAGGGTGTCAAAAGGATGAACCGCTTACTTCGACAAGGATCCAGGCATCCTCAGCTACCAGCGCAGGGTCCGCGTGCCACATTCAGGGCTGAGCACAGAAGCTTTGCTGAGTCCATCGACTTCTGGAGCCTTGAGTACGTGCAGGACTTCGTGGATTGGCGAAGCGGTTCTTTGGCACGCAGTATCCAGGCTGGACAGCTCCGTTGCTCAGGGCCGGTCCTTCTGAGTTCATGCCTGGAAAGGAGGTCGTCAACACCGTGCCAGACTTTGATGTCGCCATTCTTGGACGCACCTCGGAGCGACGTGTTTCAGCTTCGGGAGGCGTTTCGGTTGGGCGATCTAGCAGCTGAAGGGGTGTTCACGAGATGTCGAAGCTTGCTAAGATGTCGAATACCGAGAGCAGCGGCATAGCACACGCTTGCAGCGTTCATCCTTTGCTATGCGAGCGTCCAATGTTCAGCATGCCCTGAAGAGGCAACGACCAAGAGTTCCGATGTGCGGACCTTGCGGCACGGCCTGACTTCAGAGTGTCTGGGACTTGTGGGGGAGGCCTAGTCTGAGAGATGCAGGGCCGAGATGTTTCCAAAGCCCCGTACAAAAGCTGAAGTTTTCCTGCTGTGTTCAAGCTTGCAGACATGTGGTGAAGGAGGGGAAAGGCTGCTAATGCTAGGGCAGCTCGGTGTCTCGGGGCGAGTCGAGGAGCCGGCATTGGGAAGCTTCGCTCCAGTGAGATGCTCTCCCATCGCGAACTACGCCTACGCCGTCCATCGCAGGCACAGAGCAACAAAATCGCTCTCTGGTGGTGATGGCCAGTAGCGTCTTGAGTGGTTGACTGTAAAGGGCGCTGCGCATCTCCAACACTGCCGGGCAGATCGTACATGTTGCTGGCTAAACGCATAAACGACAAGACGCACTGTAATGCCGCTGGTGAGGAGCACAGAGAGGTCCTTACTTTTCAAGGTGTCTTCACACGAACTCTGCACGTAATTGGCAATGTCGCACAGAAGGAGTCCAACGAGTATCCAGCATGATGTTACAGCCACAACCACAACCGGTGCTGCTTCGAGAGTTGACCTGCTGTGTCCTGTGTGAGACGCGTCGACGCGAAAAAACACAGAGATAGAGACTGGTCCACCAGCATGGAATTCCAAGCGAGCTCTGTGAATGCATCCCTCAGTGGCTTCAAACGCAGGTACTTCCAGGCTATGTTTGAAGCTCTCAACTCGCCGGGCGAGATCTGCGGCCTCCCGGCTGAGCTACGAATACCCCGCATGGAGATGCTTGCTCAAGTTTTCGATGGACAATCTGACGTTCTTCTTACGGATTCAGGCTACCACACAGACATCTACTTCGGCACTGAGCAGATGTATGCTGCTTGGCACCGCAAGAGCACCGTGTGAGACTCGTGAGAAGAGAGTCTGACACCCCTTTACAATCAGCTACCAATCCATGCCACAACGGACACATTCCATCTTAGTTTGTTTCCAGGCATGGGATGTTGGTCAGTGAAGCTTCCTGTGGAAACCCCAGGCTGTGGATCCCAGCAGCCGCTGGTACGTGAAGTCACCGCTGCCGGTGCGTGTGCCGGGAACCGAGGGCTTGAGGTGTTGGAGGTTTGTGGCATAGCAGTGAAGTCAGTTCAGCAGCAGACCCGCCCTGAGCTGCCAGCATGAAGCTATGCTTCCATCGGACGACGGACTCTGGCAAGTACCGCAGATTCCAGGACACCTGCGCCGAAACAAGCACTCATAGCACTCCATGGGATGATGGGATGTAGTTAAGAGCCACAAACGGGAGCCTTTTGGGGTGAGCCGTGCTGTTCGACTCTGAGTCGTCAGCTCCTGGTACGTGGACCAAAGGTTCTGCAGATTCCCTGAGTCACCAAAGCATGAAATACTCCGTCCGAGAGTGCAGATTGATGAATCCGTCCCCAATCTGCAGTCCAAAGGGATACTCTTCTTGAGACTGAGCCATGAAGCAATCGTGCAAGACGTTGGCGCAGGCTGCATTCGTGCAGGCAGCCCGAATACAAAAAAAGGGAAGGAACCGGAACCATTTTTGGCAGCCTCAAGTCCAGAACCCAGGCGCTGGCAACGTGCTCCCTCCCCGGGCGACTTCGCCAGTCGCTGCGCCCTGGGGGCGCTCTCGTCGCGGCCGGTGGTTTTGCTGCATCCCATGAGGCCTGTTTCGGACCTCTGGGGGGCGATCTGAAGGCCCAGTGAAGCACAGCCGCCGTATGATGACGATGTGGGACGATATACGAAAGCCTGCTCTCAACAAGATGAAAAGTTCGGAGCCTCGAAGATGGAATCAGGGCCGGTGGCACCAGCCTTTGCGACCTCGCTGCGCAGTGGATCGACGTCGGCCGCAGAGGTGGAGTGGGATGGCTGCAGTGGAAGCAGAAGTGTTGCTCATGCGTTTCAGCGGCAACACAACGACAGCTTCACGTAACGCAGCTTTGCGCACTAGCCTCAGGCCGTAGCGAGGCAAAAGATCTGCCCTGAACACCAGGCGCGACGTATATTCCACGGCTAGTTTTGCATATGCGAGAGAAGGGGAGTCGCTTCGAGCAGATGTGGGGAAGGATGATGTTTGGAGATCTTCTTATCTTACTCTTATCTTATCTTACTTTTGTCTTATCTTATCTTACTTTTATCTGGTCTCATCTTATCTTATCGTTGAGTCAGACGTCAAAGTCAATATGCCACGTTGGACAGATGACGGGTTTAGCCTCGTGCGTCCGGCTGCCGACATCAAGCGCTGTTTTTCCTGATCCCAGGTGGACAACTGCCGGATCGACTCGTTGCAGGCTTTTCGCGATGCCGCGGGCATCTTCGAAGCGATTCGAGGTGAAGACGTTGCAGTCGAGTGAAGGGGCCGGGGTGTAAGAACGCTCTCACTTGCTTGTCGAGCACCACAGTAGGATCAGTGCGGGGGGGGGGGGGGGGGCGGGGCCAGGATGAAGCTGCAGTCACTACGAATAAAGCAACTCGTGCCTTTCAGGGGAGGACACCGCTTCGGTCCAATTCCCTGAACTTCTCAGCCCTCCGTGCTGAGGCGCATGGCCCTTTGCACCGAACCACGAGCTGGATTCAGGGCAGGTGCAACCATCACAGCTTGGGTGATTGTTGTGGCTCTGTGAGAGGTTGCATGCGAATCCGCAATAGTGTCTGTTCGGAGATATTGCATGCAAAGAGACCTGCCTCAGTACAGTGTCAGTGGTGCCATGTGGTGCCTTCCTTGTCGCATTGCGAGCCGTGGGGAGGTCAGACGTTTGTTCGCTCGTGGCCTGGGCATCTAGGATGCATTGAGTTGGGGACGCCGGGTGCTTTACGCGGGCAAGCGATGTCGCATGTTTAGAGGGATGCGGACAAGCGACCAGAAGTAGCAGTGACCCGGTGGCCGAAGTGGGGCCTGGGGCTGCCCGGACCCCGGCTCGTGACAGGTTTCATTTCGGTGGAGCCCAGCTTCAGCGATTGGGACGATGGGTCTGGGCACGAGGCCCTGGTTTGGGGGGCTTGGATCAACTTCGCCGACTTCGGAAAACGTTTTGCGCTTGCGCAGCAAGTGTCAAGTTCTCCGCTCCACTACCTTTCGACATCTACTTGTTCCCGGTGTGTTCCCGGTGTTCCGCGCCAGGATGGGAGCGACACGAATCGTTCGGCCAGGATGGCCAGGCGCGCAGTGCTGAGAAAGGCAGCGTCGCCCCCGAGCCTTGCTGAGCCCTCCTTTTGACTGTGCAGGTGGCTTGGCTCCATGACAGGCAACTCGATCTGCACAGCAGTTGTACAGCAAGAGGTACTCGTTTGCGGATGCAGAACCCTGCCGCTTGGGTGAGATGTGCAGCAGTGCTGATGCGTGTTAAGGCCTTCACAGCGGCTTCTGGAGTTCCTACCTTCACGTGCTGATGGTGCACCCTGGCAGAATGCAGCCAGAGTAGCTGAACGCTTTGGACAACAGGTAAAGGCAGTTGTGGCGGGTCGATATGGTATGAGTGTCGACGATGACTTCTGCGTGTTTGGCGAGCCTTACGCCTGCAGGCGCAACCCGCTGGATCGGTATCTTTCTTGGCTTCAGTTCTGCTGCGTGGCCGCACAAATGGGCGTGAGTTTGGGCAGGCTTCGAGTGGGAGAAGCGTCAGGCATCCCAGCTTGCGACCTGATGGAGAAGGTGGATATGGACCAGGCCGAGTCGCAGCTCGGCACTCTGAGAGCCTCCCTGGACGTTTCCATGGCTGACATTTCCTTCTGTAGATCGAGCGTCTTGTCCAGAGGTCGAAGGTTTGATCAGGCACGGTCCTTGTAGAACTTTGCAGACTCCTGTAGACTTGGCCACCGCCAAGTTGTAAGAAACTCAAAACGGTGCGAGCATGACAGATTGATGGCATCGTGTCCACTCGTGTGCGACGTCATGAGGTGAAGGCATGCCGGACCTGTGAAACCCTTGACACTCTCATAGAGGTCCCAAGGTCTCACCGCAACTGCCTCCATGACTAATGTCTGCGAAGCCTCTGCAACAGCACATAAATGCTGCTGCCGTTGTTTGGCGTCGGCTGGTGGCTAGGAAGATGCCACACTCCAGATCACAGCAGTGATGCTTTACCTATGCAAGCCGGTCCCGGGCTGTGTGCTGACCATGCAAGGCACCGAGACTTCGTCGCCCGCTGCTTCAAGGAGGGTTTCACTGGTTTTCAAGTTGTTGGGAGACAGCCTGTAGGATGCAGTGTTAATGGAGCACGAACGTGCTGCAGCGTCGAATGGGCTGCAAGGCGCACGGGCAAGCCTTGGCAGGAAGAGCCTCCCTCAGCCGAGAACCAGACCAGTTGATGACAGTTGGTTTTCTGCGTAATGCATCCGCAAAGACCTTGTGAGACTTCCGTAGCAAAGCCCTCCAGGAGAAAGTGTCGGAGTTCGTCGAGCTGGTTCTCGAGCCTGGCTTGACGAGATCTTCGTTCAGCAGCTCGGATTGCCTCTGACATTGAACTCATTCACCTCCGGCCTTGCCTGCTTCGAAGACCCCTTCCATGTGAAACTCGAGGTATTCGCTCTCCTTTCCTCTTCCAAGACGATCGGCGTCAGTTTGTGCCTGGCTGCCGACGTGCCACTTTAGGCTTCCGGGAATTGCAAACTTGTTGTGCCGGGAGTGCGCGATCAACGAGTATGCTGACCTTCGGGGTCTGGACGTCGGTGGGGGCGCTCGAAGTCGTCGTTTGAGAAGGTTAGTCGGTGTTGGTTGGTATGGCGGTGGGGCGTGGCCACCCTGCCAGACTCTCGCAGGCTTTTGCTGGTATGCTCGCGCATGTTCGACGCAGCAACCCAAAGTTCAAAGTGCATCTGCCCAGCGGCAGGTTACCACGTTGCACAGGCCAGCAACTGTCTCGGCAGACACCTTGTGCGACTGGCCTGCAGGGAGAGTCCAAACATGAACCCCCCCTCTGGCGCCTTTGGTTCGATAAGCGCTCCAAGGGCTGGCATCGGCCGAGCGGACGACTCGGCAAAGTTGGAGGCTAGGCTCCGAAATGGACGGTTTCACAGAAGCTCAAAGGCTCTGCTTCTTTGCAAGGAGGCCCTTTCGGTGCTGCACCGCTTCGATGTCGTGGCTTGGCAGTGACGCGTTCAACAGCTCTTGCACAGAACAGAAACTTGCTGCAAAGCGAGGTTGTGGACGTGTCCTTCGCGCCGAATGAGAGCGGCGTGCTTCTGCAAGATGCTTTCCGCAGGACTTAGACGGTTGACTTCTACTCGCTTCAGAACGTCACGGCCACACTCAGCTCCCACCTTTCCGGTGCCAGGAACATCGCCTGCGGGGAGCGGTGTGCGGACCTGGCAGCATTGCCAGATTTGAGGGTTCCCAGGAGCAGACCAGGCAGGCGCTGGGGCTCGGAATCATCGAGACTTAGGCCGCGTCTTGGGCGCCAAACTCATTTCAGTGTCTTATTTCGATCCGAGAACTTGTGGGTTAGAGATCCTGGTCACAGGCCTCGAGAGCATGCAGAGAATCGATCGTCCCAGTCCGGTCCTCGGCTTTGCTTTCAATGTAATTAACATGTTCTTCGGTTCCGGATTCTAGTCAGAGCTTTTGGAAGGGGGTCTGCGGTTGTTGCTGGACTGTTCAAGTCTGTCCGAGATTATTCATCGACCAGGCCAGGGACAAGACTTAGCTGCAGCTTGGTACTGTTCTGTCAACGAGCATGCTGCAGTTGCTGCGGTTGTTGCTCCCAGCAGCAGCTAAGTGACAATTTCGTTGCAGCAGCAGTTGCTGCACCTCCTACTCTGTGCTCTCGTCGGCTGAACATCTTACACAGTTTTCGCTTCTGCTTGCACTACTGCTCTTACCGCTGTGATTCTTGCGCCTTCTTCTCGTCTCGCCTCGCGTGTGGCTATGAACGACGATGAGGACCGTTCCTGTACTTTCTGGTGCGGCTGCTGCGGCTGCTGCTGCTGCTAATGTAGAGCATACTCCTGCGGCGGCAGCTGTCTGCTATCGCAGCTTCTGGCCACCACTGCACTCGAGGCACCTACCTGACTCCTTCGGCCAGAAGGCTGCCACGGCCCTGGTGCACAGTCTTCCACCCCAGGGAGGTTTGCCATGCCTCCAGTGAGACTCTATCTGTCTCTGTCTTTACCTTTGCTTTTGCCGCCTCTGCCTTCAACTGTTTCCATTTTTGGAGGGTACCTGTCCGTTTGTATATGAATAGATCGTCCCGGGAATCTGGAGGGGGTATGCAATCCTACCCATATACATATTATATGTCTTTGCCAGCCTCTCTGTCTGTCTGTCTGTCTGTCTGTCTGTCTGTCTGTCTGTCTGTCTGTCTGTCTGTCTGTCGGTCTCTCTGTCTGTCTGTCTGTCGGTCTCTCTGTCTGTCTCTCTGTCTGTCTCTCTGTCTGTCTCTCTGTCTGTCTGTCCCTCTGTCTGTCTCTCTGTCTGTCTCTCTGCCTGTTCGGTCTCTCTATCCCTGGCTCACTCTCTCTCTCTCTCTCTCTCTCTCTCTCTCATTCTCTCTACCTACCATCTCTTTCTACCCACATCCATCCATCCGTCCATCCATCCGTCCATCCCTCCAGCCAGCCAGCCACGCACTCAGCCAGGCAGCCACCCAGCCAGGCAGCCACCCATCCGCCTTGCACAGAAGTATCAGAGCGAGAACAAGAGCGCGAGTCAGGTAGCATCACGTGTCCGACTCCGAGCATCGCCCCCAAGATGTATGTCGACTCGGAGAAAGTTCCCCAGCCAAGGTTTGAGGAGCGAAATCAGATCGACAGGTGCGTCGGATCGAGGGTGGGCTGAAGTGAATGCGGGGGGCGATTGAGCGGTTGCCGAGTTGTAAATTCTTGTGAGTTTGATGCTGCTCTGCTGCTCTAGTTTTTTTCCCCAGTCCAATGTCTGGTCATGCTTAGCCTTTGTTTTGATATTCCAGTTATTGTTCAAGTTGTGTCGCATTGGGTCTGAGGCTTGCCCTCGCAGCTTCTGCTGCGAATTCAAAGATCAATGGCCCCAGTCCCTCGCAAGAGCAAGAGCCATTGCCATGATGGACTTGAGGTTTACACAATGGACTCTTATGGTTTCTTGATAAGCCGCATATTTAGTTCCTCCAGTGCATTTCGTCTGGCATCATTCCAATGGATAATTACATCTGCAGATGACAAGAGCCCTCAAGTGCAAAGTTTTGTGACCCCAGGATCTTCCCTGTCGGTAGCCCTGAACTGTATACAGTCTGCAGGTCGTTGGTGGCCACTGCGCAGAGCTTGATCCTCGAGCGCTACTCGCAGCTTCTGCAGACGAGCAAAAAAACAGAGCGGACGTGTTCGGACCTGTCGTGTGTTCCAGCTTCAGTGTGGCACAGACCGATGCCCCCGGACCCACAGGTAGTATTCCAGATGCTGCTGGCTGCTGCAAATTTGAGAATAGTCTGACTTGAAAATATTCCGGGCTATACCCCATTTGTACCTTCATTACAACATGCCTGGCAAGAGTTGAGCGGCGGCATCCCTGAACTCCTCGCACCAAGGCTCGGATGAAATGGTATATAGCTATGAGTCTCTTTCAAATCATGGAGTCGTTGAGTAGGACTTGCCTTCTGGTGTGCGGCCGGCTTATGTCCCCAAATAGTCTCAAACTGTTGCGAGGCCTGCCCTTTAAATTTCGAACTCCAGGCCGATCCCAATCGCTACCAAGGCCTCAAAGAGTGCATTCTGAGCGGACTGCTCTCTGTCCATGGCAAGAAGGCGCCCGGGCAGTGCCTCTTGCAGAAAGCCTTCTCGCGCGTTCCGGCCAAGCTCACAAGCTCACAAGCTCTTCTGCCAATGCTCCGTGGCATGGACAAGTACTTCTCGATACTCTCCTGCAGGTGTTGCACCTCGACAGGAACCCCTACTATGGCGGAGGCCTCAGAGGCAGACAGGCGCAAGCATGCGCAAGCCCAAACGAATCCACCTCACGTCCTCTCCCGGAATGTTTCGGATCAAGGCCCAGGCCTGGGACCTTTCAACGCGCCCAAATCGCGGCTGTAAAGAGGTTGAGCTCGCCGCCTCGCCTTGAGATCCGAGCCTTCCTGCCGCGGGTGAGCACAGAGCCCTGCAGAGCTTCGAAGAGCGATGGAAGAGCGCGCCTCGGCAGTTTTCCGGACGTTGAGAGCTGCAGGGTTCCGACCGAATCCTTTTTTTCTCCATACATGCCAGTGGCATGTCAGGGGGGGCCGCATACCAGCGCAGAAAGCCGTAGGAAAAGCACTACTCATACAATTCAAGGCCCGAGCCCTTGCTGGGAACCATGAGCCTTGACATAGACCCAGTGGCATGCAGAGGTTCGCGGCTTCTCATTGGGCTGAACCTGGAGCCATGCCACTTTGTCTGACTTTTTGCGCAGACGCGCGTCGTTAAAGCCTGACACCAGCTGACGGAACACTGAAGTCGAATCCGGGAAAGTCCTGGCTAGAGCCCCCATTGTGGATTGGAGCGCACGCCTCAACACATCCCAAAGTTGGGGAGCTGTCGTTTTGTTTCTACAGTTGGTTCGAGATGTTTAAGCTTGGAGCACATGGTTCGAAAGTTTCGCAACTTCTGCCGCCAAAGCCGAAGCAGCGGAGCTTTCTCTGTTCTGCAGGCAGGGGACTTCGGCGGCTGAACAACCACTATGCTGCTTGAGCTGAACAGAGCTTGAAAGCGCATCTGATGGCGATAGCAAATGTTAGCCACTGCAACGCGGGTCGGATTAGTTGGCTGACGCTGACATGTAGTACTGTAGTCATAATGCAGGATTGTTCTCGCGATGAGAGAATACCACCTCCTCTGGCCAATCAGCTTGTTTCTTTTCGCCAGACTGAAAAGAGCCCAGGCAGCGTATACTCAAGACCAGAACCTCACATGAGCCGTCCAAACCCTTCGTTCTTGTCCGACTCCTGAGCCGCCTGTGACTTGGCAGGTCGTCGAGGGCTTTGGCGGAGCAGCTGTAAACGGCAATGCAGCATTGGCTGTCGCACCGACGCGCCCTGCCTCTTGGCCTCGGAGAGGCTGTGATGGTAGCCGCTGCACGCAAGCTTCGCCAGCCTCTAGCGCTGTCGCTAAAGAGGAGTTGCAAAACCCGAACCCGCTGCTTCTCGCTTTTTTTCTGAGGCCCAGCCAAGTGTCAGGACAGAGGACGCCAGGGAGCGGCCAGCTGATGAAGCCGCTGAACTTTCAGCCAGGGAAAGAAAGAGCCAGCTTCTGTGAAATGAAGGCCAAGACCGGCGTCGGCCGGCATGCATAGTGCAAGGGCCTAAGCGTCTTTGGATCTTCATCGCCACGAGCAGCTCTTGGAGATCGCTTGGGAGGCTCAAGGGGAGCTGGTCAGCTGTTGATGCCCAGAGAGTTGCCGGAGGCTATGGAGCCTGGGATGTACAGTCAGAGAAATGGATAGGAGCCGTTTCTTGAACGGGGTACTCGTAGCCTCGAAAATCTATTCGGAGACTCCCTTCGCCTTTCCAAGCCCGACGGGAGAGACCGAATCAGGCCTGACCGAAGCTCGACGAAGGTAAGTGTCATAGGTCATCTAGTGTCAGGGGTGTGGTGGGGACATGCATCCCCACAAGATGTTGAATGGCACTGTTCAGGCTCCGGGCACCCTCGATGTCTTCCCTTCAGTTCAGTTTGGAATCATCCGTCGGGCAGCTGCTCCTGTTGCAAGACTCATTCTTCCAGTCGTGCCGGGACTGTTCTAGCTGTTGTCATTGTGGCCGCGGCGCTGCTACCCGTCGTGTGGACCGAGATGCATGTTTCAATGTGTTTAAAACGCGCAATCGCGCAGGATTCCTGGACCTGAAGTCCCTTGGGTCGTTGATCGCCCAGCAGGGCAGAAGAACTCAATATGCTGAAGGCAAACCACAGACTCAGACTCAAGGTCCTTAGCCCTGTTCAGGGGGGTTTCCTGTAGGCACGTGGCTCAGCTGCACTGTGACCCTGTTGTTTATATGTACGCGGGGCATGGGGTTGGAACTTGATGGTGGAATCCATGAAAGCGGATGCAGTAGAGCACAGACCGAGATTACCACTGCGAAGTAGTTGCTTTTGTTTGCACTCCGCACCCCTGAACGAGGACCACGACGACTCGAGTAGTCGCTGTGTTGGTTGCGCCAGCAGCAGCAGCAGCAGCAGCAGCAGCAGCAGCAGCAGGAGCAGCGGCAGGAGCAGCGGCAG